AGAAGGATCCCAGAAAGTTTTGGAGCCAAGCCATATGTATCTTCTGTGGCAGAGCTTCAGACCACTCAAAAAGCAACTGCTGTCATGCTACTGGGCCGTGTGGTCCAGACTTAGAGACTGACCACAGGATATCAAGTGTCTATGTGACCGGGGCTGCCCATCATGAGATGAATATTGGCAGATCACCGAATCCTGCGGCCAGGTGAATGAAGCAGCAATCCAGGGGAGATGGCACCTTCTGGATCCAGCCCAACTGGGGTCCAAGGCTCAAGTCAGGTACATGGACAGGTAGCTAAGATCCCAGGTCACCTGCTTCCATCACACTGGTACTCTCCCTCTGCTCAGTCCTGTGGGCTTGAGGGCTGAGGTTCCTTATAGCTGACTAATGAGGGGAAAACACTCAGACATGGCTCATAGATGGGTCTCTACAGTCCCATTCAGGGTGGCCCTTGGGGATAGTGGTGAGGAAAAATCTCCCCAGTGAGCAGTACATTCGGTTACCCACTTGGTAGAGAGATATGGCTTGAGATAAAGATGCCCTTGGAAAATGACTTGACTGATTGGTCAGGGACCCAGGAGGTGTAAAACGGGGTCAGGAGGAAGGAGTCTGCATACCCAATTCCAAGGTGCGGTGTGGGTATTTCCCCAGCACCAAACAATTCTCACACACTGACTGAGTGCCCTGTAATTCAACTCAATTCTGATACTATCTCCCTGGAGACAGCATCAGACCCCACAGGTTAAGGGCTCAGTCTCACAAGACTGCCCTCCCCACCACACAGACACTTCAGATGACAACTGCAAGCCCAGGTTATCACCTGTGCTGCTGACGAGTCAGCTATGGATGGGGGGTTCCCACAACCCCCTCTGGAGTTTCCATTAACTTGCTAGAGCAGCTCACCCAGAGGTGGGAGGGGGGTGGAACTGAAAGTTCCAACCCTCTAATCACATGGTTGGTTCCCCTGGCAACCAACCCCCATCCTCAGGTGGGGCCTAAAAGTCACCTCATTCACATAATAAAGACACTTTTATCATTTTCATCACTTAGGAAATTCCAAGACTTTTAGGAGCTCTGTGCCAGAAACAGGGACGAAGACCAACTATATATATTTCTTATTATAAATCACAATATCACAGTCATAGACAAGAAGGTTTGGAGAAGAGGCGTGTGGAGATCACTAGTGTACCTAAGGAAGTACACGGGAAGAGGATGTGGATCCCTGTGTCTCTGCCTGGTGGAAGTCAGCCAGCTTCTCTCCAGGATGCAATGGACCCCCCACAGGCAGTGGCTGAGGTGGAAGGGCTGGAGCGTCTGTTGCCTCTCACCAAGGCTGATGTCCATATGCCACCACTGAATGCCCCACCCACGGGAGCAGTGACCAATACTGAGCCCTCAATGTGATGATATTACTCAAGGGCACCAGCCAGCCTTGTGGAAGCAGGGTGATTACACTGGGCTCCTTCTACCCTGGAGGGAGCCATAATTGCATGTACTCTGAATTTAGACTTGCCTTCTCTGCACAGCATCTCTGCCAGCAATCCACCTGAGGGCTTACAGAACACCTCAACTGTGGGCATTGTATGCCACCCAACAGGGCTGCAGAGTAAGGGGCACTTCTTCCAAGAAAGGAGTTGTGACAATAGGCATGTGCCCATGGGAGCCACTGGCCCTGCCAAATACTGCATCACCCGAAGCACCCAGAGCCTACTGAAGGCTCAGCAAAGATGGCAGCTCAAGAAAAAAAACCCTGTGTGGTTAGGGAACGTTACTTCATGATGTGGCAAATGCACTGAATTAATAGTTAAGGCATGATGCTGTGGCCCCAGTAAACAGAATATGAGGTATCGTGAACCAAGGAATGGGAATAGCATTGGCTGCTCTCCCCAGTGACCCATTTGGGGAATGTATGCTTCTCATTTCTGAAAGCTTAGGCCTTTCTGGGCTAGAGGGCCTAGTTCCTAGGCAGGTTGGGGGCCCTGGCTCCATAAGGGGTCACGGTAAGGGCTCTGTGGAACTTGAAATGAACCCTACCATCTGGTCAGTGTGGTCTCCTCATACTCAGGACCATCCAGCCTGGAAAAGATGGCTGTATTCGCAGGACAATTGATCCTGAGTTCACCGGGAGCTAGCATTACTGCTCTCCAAACAGAGCTAGAAGTATGTCTGCAACTCAGGGATTCACTAGGGTGTCTCTTGGTATTTTGTAAGGAGGCAACTGTACGGTCGTGGCCTAACAAGGGGGAAGCAATGTAAAGCTAAGACCTGCACTGGAGAAAGATCTGATGCAGCCTTCCAGGAAGATAACCTAGACTAGCAGAGATGCTATTTGAGCACGAGGGAAACCTAAGCTAGTTGACAGAGGAGGCTCTGGTCAATGGCAAAACGGCCACTAAGTCCTCCCATTTGGGTTTGCACAGACACATTACTATACAGCCTGACTTTATTGCTCCTCCCATTGAGAAGCAGAGTCTATTTCTGCAGACTTGGAATCTGGACTTGGCTATGTGTAGCAGGTAGAATTATGTCTTCCCAAAAGTTCAAGTTCCAATCCCTGGTACCTGTGAATGTGATCTTATTTGGAATTATAGTCTTTGCAGATGTAATCAAGTTAAGAGGAGGTCATGCAGGACTTGGGTGGGCCCTAAAGCTGATGACTGGTGTCCTCATAAGAGGGAAAGTTGGACACAGACACAGAGGAGACACACGGAGAAAGCCATGTGAAGATGAAGGCAAAAAATGGAGTGATGCTGCTACAAGCCAAGGAAAACCAAAGATTGTTGGGAGCCACCAAGCAGCTAGGACAAGGCAAAGAAGGATCCTCCCCTAGAACCTTCAGGGGGAGCACGGCCCTGCCAGTACCTTCATTTTGGACTTGGGGCCTCTAGAACTGTGAAAGAAGACATTTCTGTTGTTTTAAACCACCAGCTTTGTGGTCCTTTGAGGTATGGCAGTCCCCTCTTTGGGTCTGAGGCAGACAATTCTGAGATGCACTTCATCCAGCCAGCTCCTGGCAGGGTCAAGTCCCAGCAGCTGCGAGTGCCAACGAATTTGAGAATGTACTCTTGTACTGGCTTTCATTCCCCTGTGACCACTTTCTAACATATGCACCTTTCCCCTTAGCCCCTGTCTCAACTTCTCCGGACCCCAGGCAAGCTCCACAGTTTCTGCTTCCTGTTCTCTAAACTAGGAGTCAGGGAGGCAAGAAGGGCTTTGGAGGAGCCTTCTCCAACCGCTGCCGTCTAATTAAACAGTCCTGTGTGGTTAATGATTCTATCACTTGCCAAAGCCTGGAAATGAACCATGCAACAACTTAATCAAGTGATCTTCTGCAGCCAGAGGGCCTGGGATTGGCAGCTCTTCCTGGCACCCCATGGGAATCCAGCCCTCAGTCCGATGCCGCTTTCCAGGCAAAGTCCTTCTCTCCCCAGGCTTGTCCAAGAAGGGAGGATAGGTCGTGGGAGAGATGGAAGGAACGTTAAAGCGATGTGCTTCAGCGCAGGGTGGGGCTGAGAGAGACACAGGTAGGCAGCGAGACCCACTCGGGCCAGTCCTGAGCACGCGAGAGCCCCAGGGCATCCCAAGCTTGGTCGACTCTCCCCACAACCCCCTCCTCCACCTCATGGCTTTTTTTTTCTCCTTATTGAAAAGGAATTTTTAAAAAATTTTAACAAAGGTGTTCATTTCAACGACAGCGAAGGAACGGCTCCGTAGAAGGAGAGAAGCAGTCATTAAAATGAAGCTGGAGGGAGGGGTAGAGGCATTCGGGCTGCGGTGCGGAGGACCTGGGAAAGGGGCTGAAACCACGGCCCCCTCCCGAGGTCCCGAGCTCTCTGAGGGAATCTCGGGAGGCGCTCCACCAAACAGGACCCGTCTCCCAGTCTGGCACAGCGCAGGCGGCACGTAACGTGCCGGGTGCTCGGAGACCCGACGCCGGGGATCGCGGGGAACCAGGGACCCCCACCTCCGT